GCGAACTTTCTAGAAGCTCGCCCGACTGCCAACGTCACATCGGGGTCGACATCCTGGGGCTCGCTTCCCAACATCCGTTGCTGACCACGCCTCCAAGAGCGCTTTGTATCTGGTCGAGCATTGCACGCGTTGTAGGCCTGCAGCAATGACGAATCGCGATCTGCTCTGCTCTCCAAAGTGTCTTCTATCAATGTGTCAACTTTGGGCGATTCCATTTCAAACGTTGATTTGTCGGCAAGTAGCGTCGGCGTCGTGGCGTCCTGCCTTTAAGATGGCGCTGCGGTCTTAGTTTGGAGTGCGTCATGCCTCTAAGATGGAACTACGATCTAAGTCTAGACTCTCAGATGGCACTACGATCTTAGTTTGACGCGCATCTTGGGTCGCGTCTCGCTACCACTGTACACCTCGCACGACAACACAAAATCGATTTCCGTGCTCTCCATAGCGTTCTCTATATATGTGCCAAACCGTAGATCCTAGGTCATTGCCAACGGCAAGCCATTGTCGCGGCAAAGCTTGAGGCGTTGGATGCAAGGATTTGCGGAAGCAGCGCCATGACAGCGATCGAAGGCTACACGCAATCGAAACCCGTCGCGGACAAACGCCGACAGAGACGATCTGTCGTCATCGCAGAGCGGCAGAAGCGTGGAAGCACCGCATCAAGACGATCATAGCGACAATGAGCATGTCAGTAGGGCGCGCCTGCAGCTTGAGCTCTGCATCGCGCTTGAGCAGCCGCTTGTCGATCATCTTGGAGAGCGCGGCGGACGAGAACATCCCTCTACGAGCTGGGTCGATGAAAGCATCGGCAGCTTTGCGTCGGCTGGAGCTGCACTGGCCACTGCCGAGCGTGGGGGTGGCCGGCTCAGGCGTGTCGAGCTACTGGAGGAGCGTTGCAGCCTGTAGGACGTTCACGACGAGGACCGGGAGGCTGCTTGTGACCCGAGAGTAGGCAGGAGCGTCGACGGCGCGGCCTGGGCCCACTACCGACCTTGGACGTGATCGTATCGAGGACTTGGAGCATTTCGATCGGTTGCGCGAGCTGTCTCGTGCTTGGGCGTGTAGTGTATGTAATCGACTCGAAAAAGTCGATGACGTCGCGGCGTTGACGATAGCAAATGTTGTCGGAAGTTCGTGATGTCGTCGCGGCGCGGCCAGCGGTCACTGTACTGGCTGACGTGTGCAAGCCGCAGGACGTCAAGCGTGAGGCGCTCGAGAGAAGCACCGCTTAGCATTACGGCGCAAGATGTCGTGCGCGCAGGGCCTACTGCGGCGGCGGCGTTTCTCGTCTCGTCGCGGCGCCCATTTTGAAATGAATTGCTATTGGTGTCCGGCTATTTATCCGGATGCCTTGAAACGACGCCACGAGCGCGACACGGTCGAGGCCATCGTCGTACTCCTCGCACAAACGCTCGAGGTTGTCGCTGTCAGCGTTTGTTTCGGCGCGCGGACTATATACCTCACAGCACGTAGACGCCCGACATCAAAGCAATGGCATTTCTAATCAAAGCAATGGCATTTCTACCGCTACGGCTGCGACCAGCGCTGCATCGACGCCAGCAACCACGACCCAATACGGATGCGACAGCTCCGCAAGCCTCTTGCGCGCATATACGCACTTATGCCAAGGTAATAACGCAGGTGCTCGGTGGCTGCGACGCTGCTCAACACGTTTCGGATACCACCCATCGAGCTTGGCGATCATCGATCCTCGACGA